CCCAACCCAAGGTTTGTTTTTTACAAAAAGCTAATGCCAAGGTGCTGTTTTTTTTTTTTTTGGTAGAGACAGAGTCTTAGTTTATCACCCTGGGTAGAATGCTGTGGCCTTATATAGCTCACAGCAACCTCCTACTTCTGGGCTTAGGTGACTCTCTTGCCTCAGCCTCCTGAGTAGCTGGGACTACAGGCGCTCCCCACAAAGCCCAGCTATTTTTTTGTTGCAATTTGGCCAGGATCGGGTTTGAACCCGCCACCTTTGGTGCACTGAGCCACAGGCACCGCCCCTAAGGTGCTGTTTTAAAACTTGGATTTATGTGGTAAAAATACAGTAAACAAAAGTAAGACTTAACTTCATTGCTCTTTAAACTGGAGATTTTTATAATGGGAATTAAATGGTATCAAGAGTTTCCCACCTGAAATAATCAAGCTGCTTATTACTTGTTATAGTTGCAATAAAAAGGCAAATTTGGCCAAGGACATTGGAACAAGAACATACTTGGTTTTTTAAAAATTTTTTTTGAATCTTATATATTACTGTACTTTATATTATTATTATTATTAGTATTATTTTTGAGACAGAGTCTTACCCTGTCGCCCTGGGTAGAGTGCTGTGGCGTCACAGTTCACAGCAACCTCCAACTCTTGGATTTAAGTGCTTCTCTTGCCTTAGCCTCCCCAGTAGCTGGGACTATAGGCGCCTGCTACAACCCCCGGCTATTTTTTTGTTGCAGTTGTCATTGTTGTTTAGCTGGCCTGGGCCAGGTTTGAACCTGCCAGCCTCAGTGTGCGTGGCCAGCACTGTAACCCCTGTGCTACAGGTGCCGAGCCAAGCCTTTATATTTTTTTAGATCATGGTTTCTGAACCTTGGCACTTTGACATTTTGGGCTGGATAATTCTTTGTTGTGGGAGGCTGCCCTATGTATTGTAGGATGTTTTGTGGCAGCAGTCCCCAGCCTTTTTGGCACCAGGGACTGGTTTCATGGAAGATAGTTTTTCCACTGATGGAGTGGGGGGAATTGTTTTGATTGAGTCTGAAAACGATTGATTTATTAGGGTCTCTGCAGTCAAACCTCTCTGCTAATTATAATCTGTATTTGCAGCCTCTCCCCAGCCCTAGCATCATCATTGCCTCTGCTCCACCTCAGATCATAAGGCATTAAATTCTCATAAGAAGTGTACAACCTTGATGCCTCGCGGGCACAGTTTACAGCAGGGTTCGTGTTTCTGTGAGAATTTAATAATGCTATTGATCTGACCGGAGGTGGAGCTCAGACCATGACATGAGTGAAGAGCAAATGGAGCTTTGCTCATTGGCCTGCTATTCACCTCCTACTGTGCGGCCTAATTCCTAATAGGCCACAGATAACTACTGGTCTGTGGCCAGGGTGGGGGTGGGTGGTTGTGTTATGGATGAAGAGGGTCCAGCTGCCTGTCACTGTCAGCCAGTATGCAGAGACAGGGATATAGGTCCACCAAACTATCAGAAGGCTGGTGATTCTAGAGAATAGTGACAGTAGCTTTTTTTTTTTTAGCGACAGAGTCTCACTTTGTCACCCTGAGTAGAGTGCTGTGGCATCACAACTCACAGCAACCTCCAACTTGTGGGCTTAGGCGATTCTCTTCCCTCAGCCTCCTGAGTAGCTGGGACTACAGTCGCCCACCACAATGCCTGGCTATTTTTTGTTTTTGCAGTTTGGCCAGGGCTGCAGGGAACCCACCACCCTAGGTATATGGGGCCAGTGCCCTACTCACTGAGCCATAGGCTCTGCCTGGCAGTAGTTTTTCTAAGACTATTCTATTCTTCCATTTCCACAAATCCCCCGCCCTTTTTTTTTTTTAAACAGATGAAGTCTCACTTTTGTTGCCTTCGGTAGAGTGCAGTGGCATCACAGCTCACAGCAACATCCTGCCCTTAGGCTTAGACGATTCTCTTGCCTCCGCCTCCCAAGTAGCTGGGACTACAGGTAACTGCCACAATGCCCAGCTATTTTTTGTTGTTGTTGTTGCAGTTTGGCCGGGGCCAGCTTTGAATGCTTCACCCTTGGTATATGGGACTGGCGCCCTACTAACTGAACCACAGGCTCCACCCCAAAATCACCATTTTATATGTAAAAGTTAAAAACAAAGACCACATTAACCCTTATTTTAAATAATAATCAGCATAATTCAGGGACCAATTATGACATTCCAATTCAGAAGTTAATTTCCTAAATCTATCCATCCAAACTACTCAAGATAGGCATCTTTAGGGAAGGAGAAAATTTACCAAAAAAATAAGAATGGGAGATAGGAGGTAAAAGTCACTTGGGACCTAAACCTACCAGATCAGCTGTGTCATGTTGGCACTAGCCTGACTGACTCCATCTTATTCTCACCACATGTGCTTTCAGTTGGGGACTGCAGTTTTGGAGTATTCTGATTTGTGAGATGCTGGTAGTATCCTCTCTAGTCAAGACAATAAAAAATATCTCCAGATATGCTCAGATATTTCTTGGGGGATAACATCGCTTTGATCAAGAATCACTGGTTTATATATATACTTTTGGTCATCCACTAGGATATATAGGAGATAAAGAGGTATGTGCTTTTTAGGGGTAGAGATCAAGGGTCAAGAGGAATAGTTTATCTTCATATTTTTATTCCTAAAACTTGCCATGAACCAGGAATGACTTATTGTCTATAGATGTTGAGCTTAAAAACTTAAAGTGAGGCTGCATGTGTGTAATCCCAGGACTTTGGGAGGCCAAGGTGGGAGGATTGCATGCAGCTGGGAGTTTGAGACCAGGCTGGGCAACATAACAAGACCTCGTCTCTACAAAAAATTAGAAAAAAATAACCAGGTGTGGTGGTATGTGCATTTAGTTTAGCTACTCAGGAGGCTGAGGTGGGAGGAGAGCTTTGGCTTAGGAGTTTGAGGTTAGAGTGAGCCATAATCAAAGCACCACACTCCTGCTTGGATGGCAAAATGAGACTCTGTCTCTTAAAGAAAAAATGGGAAAGGAGAGAAAAGAATATATGTGGTAGAGATGAAAAAGAACTTTTGCTAATAAATTTGACAGCTTACATAAAAATGGTAGGACAACCTGGAAATTTACTTGTGATTTCTCTGCTTTTCTTCATGTGGTCTTCTTGTTTAGTTGTGGGATAATTCCATCTAGTGGACTAAGTATTGATGCAAAGATCATAGAAGGAGAACATTCTTATGCTACTGTTGAGAAGGAAGAGGATTAATAGTCTTTGAACTCTTAACAAACACTAAGTACTTTCTAGTAATTTACATATATTATTTCATTTTATTTATTTATTTTTTGGAGACATTTGCACTATGTCACCCTCTGTTGAGTGCTATGATGTCGTTGCTCACAGCAACCTCGCGCTCTTGGACTCAAGTGCTTCTCTTGTCTCAGCCTCCTGAGTAGCTGGGATTATAGGCACCTGCCACAACACCTGGCTATTTTTAGAGACAGGGTCTTGCTCTGGCTCAGGCTGGTCTCAAACCTATGAGCTCAGGCAATCCACCTGCCTGTGCCTCCCAGAGTGCTAGGATTACAGACTTGAGCCACTGCACCTGGCCTTATTTCCTTTTATTTTTTCATAACTTTTCTATAAGTAGGAATTAATCTGTATTATTTGCTCAGGGTTGTATTGTAAATGGTAGAAATTTGAATTGAGATTTGAACCCACACACGTGTTCTTCGTATTTGCTATGCTCTTTCTATAAACAGTCATTGACAATATTTCAGTCAAATTTCGGGATGAAAATGAATGTTATATTACATTCTTCTATTGTTATGTAAAGACAACAAATTATTCAGATTGTTATTGTGTGTAGGTATGTGGGCAGCTGTGACAAAGAGGTTGATATTGGGATAATAGCAGTAATTGGTACTTACTGAGCACTTATGTGTCAGGTACTGACGACCTTTTGAACCTTTTAATAACCTTTACAAATTGTGTTATGGATGTACAAATAATGATCCTCATATTCCTGTTTTACAAAAAGAGAAAACTGAAACAGAAGTGAAGTAATTTGTTCAGGGTCAAATGATGCTAAATGGTAGACCAAGCATTATAACCCATTCATCTAAACAACTCAGATATTAATTTAATGAGTATTTTTAAGGGAAGAATGGTGTGACAAACCTAATTATGCTGTCATTCTTTGGTTATAACTGGTTTCACATAGTATCTCATGTGAAATCAATTTTTTTTTTTTTTTTGAGACAGAGCCTCAAGCTGTCGCCCTGGGTAGAGTGCCGTGGTATCACAGTGCAGTCTCCTGCCTCAGCCTCCCAAGTATCTGGGACCACAGGCACCCGCCACAATGCCCAGCTGTTTTTTGGTTGCAGCCATCATTGTTGTTTTGGCAGG